CTTAGCCTTAGTCTAATTAGCTCTAACATTGATGTCATATGTCATTATCTTGGGCTTATTATGTCCAATTAATTAAACATGTCCAATAACAACACTGCATCTTAGTATTTATTCTACGAGAGCTGATCCTCTTATTTACTTGGTATCAATTCAAGAACAAATTAAAAAACAAATTTTGTCTTTAATGTTATAAATCTTTCTGTAAACGCTATTCAATCCTGTTTTCGAAAAATCTGTTTTAAGTAACAATTTAGTTTTTCCAGCTCCGGGTCTAATTATGATTAGTCATAATTTATCATTATTTGGTTTTATATATTTGGTTCCGAATTCAAAGTCTTATGACCTCCAGAATTCTAATTTGCCCAGGAAATCACACCAAATGATTAAATTACTTTTATGGGTTAAATAAAAGTTAGGACAAAAAGTTAGGACAAAAAGTTAGGACAAATCAAATACTTGGAACTGTCAAAACGTATAGTATTGTGCTGAAGTTTTTTTCAGGGAAAAAGCGAAAAAAAATATTGTAGATGAATTATATTAAGAATAATAAATCTCGTCATAATAGAGTTCGAATATTGATAGATAATCTATTTACAATGACCCCACATTGTCTAAAGCCATAACATTCCGTTAGATTGTCTTGCTGAATCACAAACTCCTTAAGAATATTCTCTCAGTATGTGCTTTTGTGTGATGTGTCAAGTATTTTATTTTCAATTATGAATATTATTAAAGTAAATTTTACTAATTATATCGATCCTTTATTAGGTAATATAGTTACATACGTGTACGTACGTAAAATTTTCTGCTAGTACTATAAATACCTGTACAAATTTAAATTTGAAATGAACAGCTGATTTAGTATAAAGTAAATTTTTTTTTTTTTGGTATATTTGTAACATCTCGGAATTCTTTCATTGAATTCTCCCGGATTGTTCAGTATCGGAATTAAGAAATTTTTTTTTAAAAAAAGGATAAAAACAAGCTAACAGATAAATAATCTCAATTAATAGCGAATACTTGTTTATGCGTAATTGTATATATTTTTCATAGTGGGTTATTTCTATGCAAAATCATCAAAGTATATACATACCAGAAGGTGGTAATCCCCTTTCTCCCGGGCAACAAAGTTATATTCAAAGTACCCAGGAACCACCTATACAAGAAAAACAGCTTCCTCCTCCTCCACCAAATAAAAATTTTGATAGCAATGATAATTCTGTACTTAATATAGAACCTGAAAAATCTAAACAGCATTGGGATGAACCTCCTAGAATACAGGCTCGTCGTATCAATAAACAGCGTGTTGTATTAAAGGATGGAAAACATTTGGTGTTGGAATGTCCCATACCTACTGATCTGTTCGGGAGTATTCCTAGGAATGAATCAAGGGAATTTACTCATATGAGATATACCGCATGTACAAGTGGTCCTGACGATTTTAATCAGAAAGGATTT